CGTCCGGAAGCGTCGCTGAAGCTCCAGAGGGAGTTGCGTCGTCCGGAAGCGTCGCTGAAGCTCCAGAGGGAGTTGCGTCGTCCGGAAGCGTCGCTGAAGCTCCAGAGGGAGTTGCGTCGTCCGGAAGCGTCGCTGAAGCTCCAGAGGGAGTTGCGTCGTCCGGAAGCGTCGCTGAAGCTCCAGAGGGAGTTGCGTCGTCCGGAAGCGTCGCTGAAGCTCCAGAGGGAGTTGCGTCGTCCGGAAGCGTCGCTGAAGCTCCAGAGGGAGTTGCGTCGTCCGGAAGCGTCGCTGAAGCTCCAGAGGGAGTTGCGTCGTCCGGAAGCGTCGCTGAAGCTCCAGAGGGAGTTGCGTCGTCCGGAAGCGTCGCTGAAGCTCCAGAGGGAGTTGCGTCGTCCGGAAGCGTCGCTGAAGCTCCAGAGGGAGTTGCGTCGTCCGGAAGCGTCGCTGAAGCTCCAGAGGGAGTTGCGTCGTCCGGAAGCGTCGCTGAAGCTCCAGAGGGAGTTGCGTCGTCCGGAAGCGTCGCTGAAGCTCCAGAGGGAGTTGCGTCGTCCGGAAGCGTCGCTGAAGCTCCAGAGGGAGTTGCGTCGTCCGGAAGCGTCGCTGAAGCTCCAGAGGGAGTTGCGTCGTCCGGAAGCGTCGCTGAAGCTCCAGAGGGAGTTGCGTCGTCCGGAAGCGTCGCTGAAGCTCCAGAGGGAGTTGCGTCGTCCGGAAGCGTCGCTGAAGCTCCAGAGGGAGTTGCGTCGTCCGGAAGCGTCGCTGAAGCTCCAGAGGGAGTTGCGTCGTCCGGAAGCGTCGCTGAAGCTCCAGAGGGAGTTGCGTCGTCCGGAAGCGTCGCTGAAGCTCCAGAGGGAGTTGCGTCGTCCGGAAGCGTCGCTGAAGCTCCAGAGGGAGTTGCGTCGTCCGGAAGCGTCGCTGAAGCTCCAGAGGGAGTTGCGTCGTCCGGAAGCGTCGCTGAAGCTCCAGAGGGAGTTGCGTCGTCCGGAAGCGTCGCTGAAGCTCCAGAGGGAGTTGCGTCGTCCGGAAGCGTCGCTGAAGCTCCAGAGGGAGTTGCGTCGTCCGGAAGCGTCGCTGAAGCTCCAGAGGGAGTTGCGTCGTCCGGAAGCGTCGCTGAAGCTCCAGAGGGAGTTGCGTCGTCCGGAAGCGTCGCTGAAGCTCCAGAGGGAGTTGCGTCGTCCGGAAGCGTCGCTGAAGCTCCAGAGGGAGTTGCGTCGTCCGGAAGCGTCGCTGAAGCTCCAGAGGGAGTTGCGTCGTCCGGAAGCGTCGCTGAAGCTCCAGAGGGAGTTGCGTCGTCCGGAAGCGTCGCTGAAGCTCCAGAGGGAGTTGCGTCGTCCGGAAGCGTCGCTGAAGCTCCAGAGGGAGTTGCGTCGTCCGGAAGCGTCGCTGAAGCTCCAGAGGGAGTTGCGTCGTCCGGAAGCGTCGCTGAAGCTCCAGAGGGAGTTGCGTCGTCCGGAAGCGTCGCTGAAGCTCCAGAGGGAGTTGCGTCGTCCGGAAGCGTCGCTGAAGCTCCAGAGGGAGTTGCGTCGTCCGGAAGCGTCGCTGAAGCTCCAGAGGGAGTTGCGTCGTCCGGAAGCGTCGCTGAAGCTCCAGAGGGAGTTGCGTCGTCCGGAAGCGTCGCTGAAGCTCCAGAGGGAGTTGCGTCGTCCGGAAGCGTCGCTGAAGCTCCAGAGGGAGTTGCGTCGTCCGGAAGCGTCGCTGAAGCTCCAGAGGGAGTTGCGTCGTCCGGAAGCGTCGCTGAAGCTCCAGAGGGAGTTGCGTCGTCCGGAAGCGTCGCTGAAGCTCCAGAGGGAGTTGCGTCGTCCGGAAGCGTCGCTGAAGCTCCAGAGGGAGTTGCGTCGTCCGGAAGCGTCGCTGAAGCTCCAGAGGGAGTTGCGTCGTCCGGAAGCGTCGCTGAAGCTCCAGAGGGAGTTGCGTCGTCCGGAAGCGTCGCTGAAGCTCCAGAGGGAGTTGCGTCGTCCGGAAGCGTCGCTGAAGCTCCAGAGGGAGTTGCGTCGTCCGGAAGCGTCGCTGAAGCTCCAGAGGGAGTTGCGTCGTCCGGAAGCGTCGCTGAAGCTCCAGAGGGAGTTGCGTCGTCCGGAAGCGTCGCTGAAGCTCCAGAGGGAGTTGCGTCGTCCGGAAGCGTCGCTGAAGCTCCAGAGGGAGTTGCGTCGTCCGGAAGCGTCGCTGAAGCTCCAGAGGGAGTTGCGTCGTCCGGAAGCGTCGCTGAAGCTCCAGAGGGAGTTGCGTCGTCCGGAAGCGTCGCTGAAGCTCCAGAGGGAGTTGCGTCGTCCGGAAGCGTCGCTGAAGCTCCAGAGGGAGTTGCGTCGTCCGGAAGCGTCGCTGAAGCTCCAGAGGGAGTTGCGTCGTCCGGAAGCGTCGCTGAAGCTCCAGAGGGAGTTGCGTCGTCCGGAAGCGTCGCTGAAGCTCCAGAGGGAGTTGCGTCGTCCGGAAGCGTCGCTGAAGCTCCAGAGGGAGTTGCGTCGTCCGGAAGCGTCGCTGAAGCTCCAGAGGGAGTTGCGTCGTCCGGAAGCGTCGCTGAAGCTCCAGAGGGAGTTGCGTCGTCCGGAAGCGTCGCTGAAGCTCCAGAGGGAGTTGCGTCGTCCGGAAGCGTCGCTGAAGCTCCAGAGGGAGTTGCGTCGTCCGGAAGCGTCGCTGAAGCTCCAGAGGGAGTTGCGTCGTCCGGAAGCGTCGCTGAAGCTCCAGAGGGAGTTGCGTCGTCCGGAAGCGTCGCTGAAGCTCCAGAGGGAGTTGCGTCGTCCGGAAGCGTCGCTGAAGCTCCAGAGGGAGTTGCGTCGTCCGGAAGCGTCGCTGAAGCTCCAGAGGGAGTTGCGTCGTCCGGAAGCGTCGCTGAAGCTCCAGAGGGAGTTGCGTCGTCCGGAAGCGTCGCTGAAGCTCCAGAGGGAGTTGCGTCGTCCGGAAGCGTCGCTGAAGCTCCAGAGGGAGTTGCGTCGTCCGGAAGCGTCGCTGAAGCTCCAGAGGGAGTTGCGTCGTCCGGAAGCGTCGCTGAAGCTCCAGAGGGAGTTGCGTCGTCCGGAAGCGTCGCTGAAGCTCCAGAGGGAGTTGCGTCGTCCGGAAGCGTCGCTGAAGCTCCAGAGGGAGTTGCGTCGTCCGGAAGCGTCGCTGAAGCTCCAGAGGGAGTTGCGTCGTCCGGAAGCGTCGCTGAAGCTCCAGAGGGAGTTGCGTCGTCCGGAAGCGTCGCTGAAGCTCCAGAGGGAGTTGCGTCGTCCGGAAGCGTCGCTGAAGCTCCAGAGGGAGTTGCGTCGTCCGGAAGCGTCGCTGAAGCTCCAGAGGGAGTTGCGTCGTCCGGAAGCGTCGCTGAAGCTCCAGAGGGAGTTGCGTCGTCCGGAAGCGTCGCTGAAGCTCCAGAGGGAGTTGCGTCGTCCGGAAGCGTCGCTGAAGCTCCAGAGGGAGTTGCGTCGTCCGGAAGCGTCGCTGAAGCTCCAGAGGGAGTTGCGTCGTCCGGAAGCGTCGCTGAAGCTCCAGAGGGAGTTGCGTCGTCCGGAAGCGTCGCTGAAGCTCCAGAGGGAGTTGCGTCGTCCGGAAGCGTCGCTGAAGCTCCAGAGGGAGTTGCGTCGTCCGGAAGCGTCGCTGAAGCTCCAGAGGGAGTTGCGTCGTCCGGAAGCGTCGCTGAAGCTCCAGAGGGAGTTGCGTCGTCCGGAAGCGTCGCTGAAGCTCCAGAGGGAGTTGCGTCGTCCGGAAGCGTCGCTGAAGCTCCAGAGGGAGTTGCGTCGTCCGGAAGCGTCGCTGAAGCTCCAGAGGGAGTTGCGTCGTCCGGAAGCGTCGCTGAAGCTCCAGAGGGAGTTGCGTCGTCCGGAAGCGTCGCTGAAGCTCCAGAGGGAGTTGCGTCGTCCGGAAGCGTCGCTGAAGCTCCAGAGGGAGTTGCGTCGTCCGGAAGCGTCGCTGAAGCTCCAGAGGGAGTTGCGTCGTCCGGAAGCGTCGCTGAAGCTCCAGAGGGGGTTGCGTCGTCCGAAAGCGTCGCTGAAGCTCCAGAGGGGGTTGCGTCATCCGGAAGCGTCGCTGAAGCTCCCGAGGGAGTTGCGTCATCCGGAAGCGTCGCTGAAGCTTTAGAGGGGGTTGCGTCGTTGAAGCTCCAGAGGGGGTTGCGTCGTCCGGAAGCGTCGCTGAAGCTTCAGAGGGAGTCACTGAAGCTCTAGAGGGGGTTGCGTCGTTGAAGCTCCAGAGGGGGTTGCGTCGTCCGGAAGCGTCGCTGAAGCTCTAGAGGGGGTTGCATCGTCCAGACAGTAACGTCGCTGAAACTTTAGAGGGGGGTTGCGTCGACCGGAAGCATTGCTAAAACTCTAGAGGGGTTACCAGAAGCGTCGTTAAAACTCCAGAAGGGGTTGCGTCGTCTGGAAGCGTCGCTGAAGCTCTAGAAGGGGTTGCGTCGTCTGAAAGCGTCGCTGAAGCTCCAGAAGGGGTTGCGTCGACTGGCAGCGTCGCTGGCTAAAACTCCAGAGGGGGTTGCGTCGTCCGTAAGCGTCGCTGAAGCTCCAGAGAGGGTTGCGTCGGCGGAAGCGTCGCTGAAGCTCCAGAGAGGGTTGCATCGGCGGAAGCGTCGCTGAAACTCCAAAGGGGGGTTGTGTCATTGCTGAAGCTCCAGAGGGGGTTGCATCGTCCGGAAGCGTCGCTGAAGCTCAGAGGGGGTTGCGTCGATCGGAAGCGTCGCTGAAACTCCAGAGGAGGTTGCATGGGCCTGAGACCCTTGCTGAAACACCAGAGGTGAAGCAATTGGGAGTTGAGGTTGAGTTGCTCAAAGATTCACAGAGTGATGTTGTAGCGGATACTCATGAAACTATTGAGACTCTTGCTGAGAAACCATAGGTGAAGCAAGTGGGAGTTGATGCTGAGTTGCTCAAAGATTCACAGAGTGATGTTGTAGCGGATACTCATGAAACTCCTGAGACCCTTGCTGAAACACCAGAGGTGAAGCAAGTGGGAGTTGATGTTGAGTTGCTCAAAGATTCACCGAGTGATGTTTGTAGCAGATACTCAAGAAACTCCTGAGACTCTTGCTGAGAAATCAGAGTAGAAGCAAGTGGGAGTTGAGGTTGAGTTGCTAAAAGATTCACATAGTGATGTAGCAGATACTCAAGAAACTCCTGAGACTCGTGCTGTTGGCGAGGAACCCAGTCTATCATTCAAAATAGAGAAGGCGATACCATTTCACTCGGAGGTTGGTTGAAGATGGTGATGTGTTTTGAGAAGATAGAGGGTGCAAAGAATCCAGCAAACATGTTGATAAAATGTGTTGATGTTGGAATACTGAGGTTGTGTGAAACCTCAATTGGTATGGTGCAGTGAAGATGCTCATGGTCGTCTGAGAGTGAAATTCTTGGTTGACTAGATCAGTCTCCAAGCGGGAGAATTGTTAGGCTATGGAGCCTGATACTTATTTATAGCTTGGTCAACGGTTATATCCGGTAAACCTATATTTGGTAAGCTATATATAGTAAAGCTATATATGGTAAAGCTATATCCGGTAAAGCTATATATGGTAAATAGTTATATATAGTAGATGACTAAATCTGGTAAAGCTATATATAGTAAACTATACCATATATATATCTGGTCCGGTAGAGCTTTGAAAATGTACTTTTCTCTGTAATTCTCTCTGTACATACGTGAAGTCATCAATACAAAGAAATCCTTTTAGCAGAGTTCTCCTTGCAATTTTCTCTATCCTTTTCGTTGTGTTCATTTAGATCGAGTGTGTGCGTTGTGTTAGGATCGATATCAGTCGTTAGCTCTGATACCAGTTGTTAGGATCGCACAACAACGCACACGCTCGATTTAGATGAACACAAAGAAAAGGATAGAGAAAAGTTGCAAGGAGAACTCTGGCTAAAAGAATTTTTTTGTATTGATGACTTCAGGTATGTACAACAAGAGAGAGTACAGAAAATAGAAAAGTACATTTCAAAGCTTTACTGGACGGGATATATATATGGTTCAGTCTACTAAATATAGCTTTACCAGATTTAGCCATCTACTATATATAGCTATGTGCCATATATAGCTTTACCGGATATAGCTTTACCATATATGGCTTTACCATATATAGCTTTACCGGATATAGCCGTTGACCAAGCTATAAATACAGGGAGCAGACTCCATAACTCAACAATTCTCCCACTTGAAGACTGATCCTACACCATACCAATTAGTGCTTTGCATAGCCTTAATTTTCCAACATCAACACATTTTGTCAACATGTCTGTTGGATTCTTTGCACCCTCTATCTTCTCCAAACAAATATCGCCTTCTTCCACTAACCTGCGAGTGAAATGGTACCGTCTTCTAATGTGTTTTGTCCTTGAATGATAGACTGGGTTTTTCACCAACTGTATGGCACTCTGACTATCTGTATAAAGAATTTTCTTGCACTGCTTCCGGCCTAATTCTTCTAGATAGTCTGTCATCCATATCATCTCCTTTCCAGCTTCAGCTATGGCCACGTACTCAGCTTTAGTAGATGAAAGAGCAACGCATTTCTGAAGCTTGGACATCCAACTCACTGCTGTTTCATCTATAGTGTAGATATACCCAGATGTGCTCTTGCTGGAGTCTACATCTCCACTCAGATCAGCATCCACAAAACCTTGCAGAACTACTTTGCCATTACCATAACAAAGTGTAGTATTGGATGTACCTCTCAGATATCTCAGAAGCCACTTCACAGCTTCCCAATGTTGCTTCCCTGGATTTGCCATGTACTTGCTAACAACTCCCACTGCATGTGTTATGTCAGGTCAAGTGCAAACCATAGCATACATCAAACTCCCAACTGCAGAAGCGTACGGAACTGATGCCATGTGCTCACGTTCCTCAACTGTCTTGGGAGATTGCCCTTTTGACAATTTAATATGATTTGCCAAGGGGGTAGTCCTGGGTTTAGCGTTATTCATCTTGAATTTGGACAACACCTTCTCAATGTACTGCTCTTAGGATAGATTTAATGTGCCAGCAGATCTATCTCGAGAAATCCTCATCCCAAGGATCTGCTTCGCTGCACCTAAATCTTTCATCTCAAATACTGAAGACAAGCTTGCCTTCAGGTGGTTTATCTCCCTCATACTTGATCCAGCAATTAGTATATCATCCACATACAGGAGTAGAAACACATGAGAATCAGTGTATTTCTTGAGGTAGCAACACTGATCCTTTTCACTTCTGTGGAAACCACTCTTGCTCATGAAGGTGTCAAACTTCTTGTACCATTGTCTCGGTGCTTGTTTCAGTCCATACAAGCTCTTATTGAGCTTACACACCATGTGCTCCTTGCCTGGAGCTGCAAATCCTTCGGGTTGTTGCATATAGATCTCCTCATCTAGATCTCCATGTAAAAATGCTGTTTTTACATCCATTTGCTCAAGGTGCAAATTCTCTGATGCAACAATACTCAGTACAATTCGGATAGTAGTTAATTTCACAACTGGAGAAAAGATCTCAGCATAATCAATGCCTTTTCTTTGTGAATATCCTTTAACTACTAACCGAGCCTTAAACCTTGATTTTGAACACCCATTTGTTTAACAGAGCTCTCTTTCCTGTGGGCAACTCAGTCAGCACCCACGTATTATTCCTTTCAAGTGAGCTCATTTCATCATCCATGGCTTGCTCCCACTTGGTTGAATCTTCCACTTGTAGGGCCTCATCAAAGGACTCTGGTTCTCCTTCGTCAGTCAGCAACAGATAATGTAATGAGGTTGAATATCTATCTGGTGCTCTGGTAGTTCTGGATGATCTTCTCAACACCTGCTCAGGTGCAACTTGCTCCACGTCTGATTCTTCAGCGATAGGATCAGGAGTTTCTTGAGCTTCTGTTGTATCATCACTATCTGAATTTTCTTGCCACTCAAGTTCAACTCCCACTTGCTTCGTAGTCTCAGAGTTTATCTTCTTTCTGTCCTTGTACATGACATTTTCATCAAAGGTCACATCACAGTGTCTTAAGATCTTCATATTTTTCTCATCCCAAAACCTGTACCCGAACATGTCAGAGCCATAGCCTATGAAGTAGCATTTCACGGCCTTAGCATCAAGCTTATCTCTCTTCTCTGGATCAACATGGACATACGCAGTACAACCAAAGGTTCTCAAGTGAGAGTACTTGAGTTCTTTTCCTGTCCATACTTCTTCGGGCAATTTGAACTTCAAGGGTACTGACGGCCCTCTATTAATCAAATATGCTGCTGTGTTCACAGCATCAGCCCAGAATGTCTTTGGCAATCCAGAATGAATCCTCATGCTTCTTGCTCGCTCATTCAAAGTTCTGTTCATCCTTTCTGCAATTCCATTTTGTCTTGCCTTACCGGGAATTGTTCTTATTAATCTAATTCCCTCAGCTGCACAAAATGTTATAAACTCTGATTTGTTGTACTCTCCTCCATTGTCAGACCACAGGCATTTGATCTTCAAGCCGGTCTGATTTTCAACTTCAGCTTTCCACTTCTTGAAGGTGGTAAACACATCTGACTTGTGTTTCAGAAAGTAAACCCATACCTTCCTGCTGAAGTCATCGATGAAGGTGACGTAGTACCTAGATCCACCAAGTGATGAAACTGGAGATGGTCCCCAGACGTCTGTATGGACCATTTCCAACCGCACTTTCTTCGATTCTCTGGCAGCCTTTGTGAAACTAACTCGTTTCTGTTTGCCCATAACGCAGCTCTCACAAAGACCCATATCAACAGATTTGAAGCCTTCTAAAGCTCCTTTCGCAGACAGCATCTTCATTCCTTTGACGCTCATATGTCCAAGTCTATTGTGCCATAGACTTGAATTGGAAGCACTCTCAGCAGCAGCAGTCATGTTTATACACTCTGCAGTAGTGTATAAGGTTCCGGATTTTGTGCCACGCGCAATAACCATGGCGCCCTTCACAATCTTCTAGGAACTCTTTCCAAACTCCGCTGCATAGCTTGTGCTATCCAACTGACCAATAGAGATCAGGTTCTTCTTGAGACCAGGAATGTATCTGACATCTTGTAATGTCCATTGATTTCCTGCTGGAGTTTGTATGGAGACATCTCCTTTAACTTCAATCTCCAAGGTTTTGTTGTCGGCAAGATACACCTTTCCGAAATTTCCTGATTTGAAATTTCGAAACAATTCCTTACTTGGAGACGAATGGAACGATGCACCTGAATCCAAAATCCAGGATTCAGCTGGGCTATCCACACTAAGGATTAAAACGTCCTCAGCATCTTCTGTTGTGTATATAGAATCATCATCATCTTCAGATTTATGATTCTGCTTCTTCTTTAATTTTGTACAATCTGTCCGAAAGTGTCATTTTCCCCCACAGCTTCAACACGTTACGTTGGGTTTGTTTGGAGATTTTTCCCGGTTCTTTGATTTTGAACGCCCATGTTTGTTTGAGCTCTTTGATTTGCTTCTTCCCCTTCGATCAACACTGAGAGCATTGCCTGATGAATCTCCAGTTTCCCGTTTGCGAATACTTTCGCTGAGAACTACATCTCGAATTTCATCAAACTTCAGTTTATCAGATCCTCGGGAACTGCTGATTGCGGCAACAACAGTATCCCATGACTCGGGTAAGGATGACATCAAAATCAACGCTTTAATTTCATCTTCGAAATTAATTTCCACCGAACCCAGTTGACTTATGATCATATTGAATTCATTTATATGATCCGCAACACGTCCACCTTCAGACATCTGTAGATTGAACAATCTACGCATCAAATACACCTTGTTCATAGCCGACGGTTTTTCATACATATTTGACAGCGCCTTCATCAGATCTGACGTTGTCTTCTCCTTGATGATGTTAAACGCCACGTTTCTGGATAGCGTCAACCGGATCATCCCTAAGGCTTGTCGATCCTTGAGCTTCCACTGTTCCGTGGTCATGGTATCCGGCTTCATCCCCAACAGAGGTTCGTGAAGATCTTTCTGGTACAGATAATCTTCAATCTGCATCTTCCAGAAACCGAAATCGGATCCATCGAACTTCTCAATTCCAATCTTTGAACTTTCCATCTTCACAGATCGTGGTGAATTTTACCTGCTCTGACACCGCCTGGCTCTGATACCAGTTGTTAGGATCGATATCAGTCGTTAGCTCTGATACCAGTTGTTAGGATCGCACAACAACGCACATGCTCGATCTAGATGAACACAAAGAAAAGGATAGAGAAAAGTTGCAAGGAGAACTCTGGCTAAAAGGATTTTTTTGTATTGATGACTTCAGGTATGTACAACAAGAGAGAGTACAGAGAATAGAAAAGTACATTTCAAAGCTTTACTGGACGGGATATATATATGGTTCAGTCTACTAAATATAGCTTTACTAGATTTAGCCATCTACTATATATAGCTATGTGCCATATATAGCTTTACCGGATATAGCTTTACCATATATAGCTTTACCGGATATAGCCGTTGACCAAGCTATAAATACAGGGAGCAGACTCCATAACTCAACACGTTGTTGTGCGATCCTAACAACTTGTATCAGAGCTAACGATTGATATCGATCCTAACAACTACCTCTCTTCTATCCCTAAAAGTGGGTAGGAGTGAATTCCATCTTGCACCCCACGTCCCCAGCCATTCACCCAGTCTTACCCGTAAAATGGGAGGCCTATTGAGTCGGCGAACTAGAGCCATTCTCACCCATGAAAATCTAAGGATAATTCTGAATAAACAGGAGTTCATGGTTAGCTCAATATTAAAACCGAGTTACCTAGGTTATCGAATGAAAAGAAAATCAGTCTCAACAGTAAACGACATTATAAAGTGAGAGTGGTTTTCTTCATGGTCCGATCTTATGCAATCTTGTGAATGTTTGCTGAATCACCACACCTAAATGGGGGTGAGAGTTCTCTTATTTATAATCATTTACAATATACAAAAATATGGTAAATTACAAATAATAAGGAAATAGTAATAAAAGGAAAGAATAATAAATGAATGCAATATATTTGCCTTTAATGAAAGGGTAAATATGGTAACCCGTAATGTAAGGCAAATAATTA